AATGCGCTGCATTATTTTGCTCATTGCGCCCTCCTGTGGCCTCGGGAGACAAGCCAAAAGATTCATTGAGACCTATTTAATCTGCACATAAAACATTAGAAATTAGATATTTGTTTAATTTTTATTGTGTCTTTGACTGTAAAAACAAAAAATATTTGTTGTTTGTCTCAATTAATTGGGTTAATTTAAAAATACAGTGGTTAAATTAAAAAAAAAATTATATTGCTCTTTGTTTTAAAAAAGGTTATAAAAAATGTAAATAATTATCGATACCGAACGATATGAAACATTATATCGTTGATACATTTTTTAGCTATATCACCAAGCCCTATGCTAGAGTAGTGTTACTCTAGCATAGGGCTCGTGTTGCTCGTGTCAAAGCGAAGCGCGGTTGATGCGGCGAGACTCACCGGAGTTGTGTCCCTCACAGAGCAGCTGCAGGAAGCGGAAGAGGTCACAGGTGAACTCGTCGTCTTGCATGACCTTCTCACCTGCGCAGCAGCAGAGTCGTGTGTTAGAGGCGCTGTGATCACGAGCGTGTGAACACACAGACTGTAAATGAGCTCTGGGATGAGGAGGATCACGAGAGCAGCAGTGCTTTCTCCTCCGTCTTCAGACGCCTGCTGTCAGACTCCATCAGCACAGAGCACTGACACCAGCATGATGGGCTAGCGCTGAGACACCAAACCTTTAAAACACTACCATACCAGACGATGTGCTGCTATAATTTATTCATGCTTGACATGAGGTGCTTTATTATTATTATTGATTGTTGTGTTGTGGATTTGTGGTTTTATTTGTCTTTTGAGTCTGTGCAGCACTTTGGAACAACATTGTGTTCCATTTAAATGTGCTTTAAAAATTTAAAATAAAAGCTAATACAACATTCAGAGATGCATTGATTTAAGAATCAAAATGAAATCTGAAATTTAATAATTAATTCTGGTATTGCTTTATGGGTGATGATATTAGTGTGTGTGTGTGTGTGTGTGTGTGTGTAAGTGAATGTGTGTGTGAGTATTGATTTAAGAATCAAAATGAAATCTGAAATTTAATAATTAATTCTGGCTGGTATTGCTGGGTGATGATATTAGTGTGTGTGTGTGTGTGTGTGTGTGTGTAAGTGAATGTGTGTGTGAGTGTGTCAGTGAGTGTGTGTGTGTCAGCGAGTGTGTGTGAGTGAATGTGTGTTTGTGTCAGTGAGTGTGTGTGTGTGAGTGTCAGTGAGTGTGTGTGTGTGTGTGTGTGTGTGAGTGAGTGTGTGTGTGTGTGTGTGTGTGTGTGTAAGTGAATGTGTGTGTGAGTGTGTGTGTGTGTGTGTGAGTGTGTGTGTGTGTGTGTGTTAGACACAGTGAGTGAGTGAGTGAGTGTGTGTGTGTGTGTGAGTGAATGTGTGTGTGTGTCAGTGAGTGTGTGTGTGAGTGTGTGCATTACTTATCATGAACTAACAATACACAATATACTTTTTACAGCATTTATTATTAACCTTTGCTAATATTTTGTAACAAAAATACAACTATTTATGTTAGTTCGCAGTGCTTTAATAAATGCAAACAGTTTGTGATTTTAAAAATGCATTAATGCTGAAATTAACATTAAGTAGAATAAATGCTGTAGAAGTAGTTCATTGTTAGTTAATAAATGGGATCTAATTGTAATGCGTTACCAGAAATGATTATTAAATATCATATTTGATGCATTTAATAAAGTTAAAGATAGAAAAGCCGTCTCATTACATTGAGGAGTGAAGATTAGATAAAGAAAATGAATTATATTAACTTTATTGTTGTACTGACAATATATTATGTTTATATTGTGGAAGATGTTGGGAAAATATTTGGAAATATTCTGGGACACACATCGACTGATAGTTGTTAGTTTCAACATTATGCATGAAATGAGCCTCCCATCATCCATCATGCAACACAGCTGTCTAATAATGTTCAGCTGTGGCTTCAGCCTGAGATATCTGACAGAGAGACGTCTGGAGACACACGGAGGAACATGATGGAGAATGTTTCTAAATGTCACAGGATTTGAGCTCTCAGCTAAACACAACGATCAAAACCTCCAGGAAATCACACAGACATGTTCCTCTCACAAGCCGACCTGAAAGTGCTTGACCTTTCTTTAGTTTAGAGTATCTGAGGGGTTCTGGTCCTCCCTACATAGACAGCATGTTAGGATGCACAGGCCGCTCCATACGGAAGAAGGCATCATCATGTTTCATTAAGGCCAAATTCATGTGTTCTTCAACAGTGAAGGCAATCTCTATGATGGGTGAAAAAATGAGAGAAAAGCCCATTATTAATATACAACCCCCCCAAAAAAGGTGGGACATTTTACAAAATGCAATAGAAACTAGAATCTTTGATTTAAAGGGTTAGTTCACCCAAAAATGAAAATTAGCCCATAAATTACTCACCCTCGAAGCATCCTAGGTGTATATGGCTTTCTTCTTTCAGACGAATCCAGTTGGAGTTATATTAAAAATTGTCTTTGATCTTTCAAGCTGTTTAATGCCACTCAGCGGGTGTTGCATGCATCAGTCCAAAAGAAGTTAAATAAAAAG